AGGGGGGGGGGGGGATCATCAAGGGGAGGTCTGGGAGGCACAAGAAGACACCCCCCTGGGGACAGTCTGCGGGACTACCCTAGCTCAATGAAAAGTTCGGTGAACTTCCCTGACTTGTCAGGAGGGTCCAGAGGGCCTCCCTCAGAAAGTGTTGAAAAATGAAGTAATCTACCGAGCAATTTTGAGCTACTCTCACCAAGAAATGAATCCAATCGCTTACAATTTCCAAGATGAAGGATACGTCAAGCAACTGGCGAAATCCCTAATATTTTTAAGGAGGGGTCGAGTAGATTGGTAAGGGGGGGGNAGATTGGTGGGGGGGGGGGGGAAGTCTCCTAGGCCCCTTTTTTCCGCGTAAGTGCCTGGATCAGAATGTGAACCATCTGAGGCCTCCTAAGCATAAGAAATGTTCAAGGAACACCTACGAATAAGGCACTGTGTTATTGTTTGGATCCAACCATGACGTCACAACTAATCGCGTTTATACGTTGTGCGGGGCGAGGGGGAGGGGGGGGGGGNAAGGGGAAGGTGCCGCGACGGTGGCGCACCGACAACCGCCTGCATGCGCCGGAACCCATGAATAAGAGTGGGTATAGCGAGGGAAATCTGGTTATGAAAATTAATGACTCCACATTATTATTCGTTCAATCATACAGGACAACAACTGCTTGCCACCGTTTTTGCTCCACTTGCGCTCGGATAGCGATAGAGCGCCCGGATCCACGAGTCCACGACCCAGAACCATAGGGTACATAGAGTCGTAATGTAAGTAGAGGAGCTGGCGCCACTTTTAAGCATTTTCCATGTCCCGAATTCCGAGACTCCTGTGTGACGCCGGGTAGAGTCCCTTTATACTGAGAGTCAAGACAATTTGAATCCATTTCTGATTGGTTCCCGTATTTTAGGCCTCCACAGTGTCACAAACGGGAATAAAGATTGCATTTTCACCAATTGCAAAGATTATAATCTGGAATGGACCAGGGAATTACGGGTTCGACAAGGAACAAACGGAATGAGAGGAGGAACGGAGAAAGGCATTTGAGAATGGGCCGATCAAAGATTACGAAAAACGTTCCACTTCTGTAATCTTTATTCCCGTTTGTGACGTCCATGAGCCGAATTGTCTTGACTCTCAGTATAAAGGGACTCTAACGCCGGGTCACTTTTTCGATACATAATCGATTGTTTGCGATACACGGATACCCGGCCATCTGATGTAAACAAAGAAGATAGGAATCACCACGTATTCCATACCGCCATTTTGGATCGAACATGTATCGAAAAAGCATGAAAAAGTGAACCGAACTCGGCGCACACCGGGCTCGGAACTCGTCGAGCAGAACATGGCGCCAGATCTCCCATTTACATTACGACTCTATGTACTCTATGCCCAGAACCGGGGCCGCGCACCCCGCAACGCATGAACCCATTCCCTGAAACAGCCTCCGTCAGGGATGCGTGGGGTTGAGGTGGCGACTAGCGAGAGTTGGCAACACAGCGTTTCGTCCATTAAACCAGCGATTATTATTGAGACACGCCGCCTAACCCCAGGAATTAAAATTCATTTGTAATGTATTCTAACAGGGTGAATCAAAAAGCCCTTTTTGGCCTTTTGGCTCACCTTCTTGGCCCATACTGCCATGCTAAAGAAGAACGCCGTATGAGCATTCAAGAGTTGCCAAATTTCTTTCGATAAAATGTTTGTTTTAGGAAAGTTATGGATATTTTTCCTTGAAATTCTCAGAAAATTTCGGTGAAATAGTGGACAAAATTATCCGAAAAATTAGAAGAAAAATATTTACAAATTTTCCCGAAAATACGTGATCTACGAAAGGAAATTTGGCAACGCCTGAAGGTTCATACGGCGTTTTTCCTTAGCACGGCAGCATAGGGTTCTCGCCACTTATGAGGGTACTTAGTCGCCTAAAAATTTGGGGAGGGGTCATTCCATGCTAAATCAAACCAAAATTTGACCTGACCTCTACAGAATTTGATGCGTTTTGGTGAAAAATCGAATTTTTGGAATCAGCTCAATGAGGAGAGTGAATGTACCAAATTTCATCAAATTCTGAAGAGGTCAGGTCAAATTTTGGTTTGATTTAGCATGGAATGACCCGGAGATCTCTAGAGTCGTTTTCTTTGACCCAGGAGCACTCGAAATATTTCAAGTCTCTTCCTCAATTTTTCAGGAGTTACATGGATAATGCAGAGTGCTGGTGGTGCGGTACTTTTGGATCACCCTGTGGGTACAGGATGTGCAAAAAGTATGGATTGGTCGCTCTTACTGCAAACTGGGGCGCTCTGCAACACTTAACTGCCACTCGAATCTGCCAAGGTAGAGATTTGCGGAAGCTGGCATCTCTTCATCTCTTTACGGATGCCACCTATCCACCTTTTAGCTGGACACCTCTATCAGTGGCGAGGCATGAATGATCGATTATCAATATTTCTCCATTTGAGGCTAGGGTAAAGGATCTATCAATGAGGCTTTCGTTGTGAACAACCTACTGATCGATCATTTTCCATAGCTTAAAATGGTAGATCAATCAATATGCCGCAAAGGACGCCACACCACTGACCTCTACAACGCAACGCCTGCCTGGAGGGACCAATTTCAAAACCTTTGTCCGCAACCTGGTGTCAGTCATTCGCTTCACGTTCTCGAACTAGACCGACTATTTGGTCATCACACCATACACATCTCTTTTACCCCCATCTCTTGGAAATGTTCATTTCTGAAACATTCTTTTCTCAAGATTCCAGGCGATTCTTGGAGCACAGCGAACACTGTGCTGTAGCATTAGCAGGTCCCTTAGAAGATACTTACTGACCAATCATGTTAAAAGCTTTAAAACATAAATTGGGCCCTTCCTAAATAAATTACCCACAAACTACCTGGTATCTGGAAATCATTGAAGTAGGTAAGTATTGGTAAGTAATTCTGTGGATGAGAAAATCGGAGAAATGAAAGCTTAAGATGACATGAAAAGATATGAAGACAGATACTGAATGAAAGTATTGAAAATTGGTTCCCAGCAGTTTGACCTCTTTTTTTACCAAGATAAGGCCATGTTTGATACCTAGCAAGGTCGAAACCTTAAACTAGCTTTTCCATCAAAACAGAGAAGCAGAACAATGTAACTCCATTTAAATATAAGTACATTGGATATTGAAAGTTAAGTACTTATACGACGGAAAACCACTAATTTGACTTGATACATTGATTATTCCATTCATTCGGTTGAGTGCATTTTCAGTGAGTGAGCTTTTTCTTGTAAGAGCTTCTCGTACCTAAATCCTTTATCAAGAGCAAAGAGATTTTATGTTTTCACCTGATTCTCCAAGAAGATTTCCTCACACAAATGATCCCTAGGCTTACTTTACATGTTCCGTACACAATCCTTTTGTTTCAATCTATGAAATGTTTTTAATAGATAATTGCAGTTCTTTAAGAGGCATCAGCAGATTAATTTTTTTTCATAGATTTTTTCAACATGCAGGCAAGAAACTCATTTGAAGAAAATTCAGTGCGGACAAAGGAATTAGGCCTGTTCTCAGTGCCACTAACAGTTTGGTTCTTGTCAGAACTCATCAGACAGATGAGCATGGACAACCAGGTTCGACTTCAAGCCACATTGCGGTGGCGCTAAAAATAGGCTTGATTTCCTTGCCCACGATGGCTTCTCCTTAAATGAATTCCTCCCTTGTTTAATGAAAAAATAATGGATTGCTGATACTTCTAAAAAGACTGCAGTTGATATTGATTATGGTCATCAACAAATTTTGGTTTTAAGGTTTTATATATATAATCGTACCCCTTTATGGAGGACGTTCCGTAAAAGGGTGGCGACATGCGGCAGGGTGTTAACAAAAAGATGTTGCGGTGTCAGTTGCCTGATAACCTCTGGGAGGAGAGGCATAAGTGGCGTTTGGGTGTCGCAGAACGCCAGAGTGCGTTGTAGGAGTGACTTCATATACATATATAAACACAATACAAGGTGTCCAGCAATATTCTATTTCCCCTCTCCCTGACGTTTGGATTTTTTGCCGCTCAGCTAAATGTACCAGTGTGGGTAGGTGGGGGCTCGAATTTTCCCGGGAAAATTTCACAACAGACCAGGGGAGAGCGGGACAGGCTGGTTTCAAAGTTATTCAAAAAGTGTCAATCTGGTACAGAAATTCCCAACTCAAGTGGTTCCGCGGTTTCTTTCCTCGACTTCTTTCTGATCAATTTCACCTCCCTACCTTTCCAAGTCACTAGATATCCTGAATGGATGGCTGATGGAAAAGTGAAGAAATATAACATGTGACCAGATCGACTTCGATAGAATTTATTCCGTCCGAATCATGCCCTCAAGATAGGTTATCAATTATTGAGACTGACTCCTTGCTGGTGTTTTCTTTGATACCGAGAGGAATATATTGACTAGAAACAATGGGAATGGGCATCAGCTTTGAATCACATCATCGATAGTGTATGAATTCAAATTTGATTAATCATGTAAAATTGCCTTTATACCTGGAACCCGGCTTCCAATGGTGCCTTTTCAAAAAAAATTTCTAACAGTAACAAATGAGGCAAATCAAAACATAAGTGCTTATCTCACTTGGATTCGGTTTCTTATTAAAAGGGACATAAATTACAGTCAAGTCAGTAATATCTGATTTTCTTGTTGTTGCAGTTGGACACCCTAGTGACTTCGTGAACAAGACTTGTTGTGCAGTAACAACTAACATATTTGGATTCACACAAATGTTTGAGGAACAGACCCAAGAATTGAGCAGCGAAATGTGAGAGTGATGCAAATTTCCGATGGATTTTGTTTGGTCTGGAGAAATACAGATAAAGTAGATGGCAAATAATAATAGATCCTACTTAATTATTCAAAGTAATGAAGCTTACCTTTAAGGGCTGGCAGTTGCTGAAGCTCCACATCAGCAGAGTTCCGGTACCTTGAGGATCCCTGGGATTTTTTTGTCTTTTTCTTGAGTGACCGCTTAGCAAATGGATCAATCCTATCAACGAAGGTACCGGAGGACATGATTTTATGACGAGGAAATGTCTAAAACTGACGCTGACCGTTTCATCGAAACATAGCCAATGATTCACTGCACAAGACACAGGTATTTTGCGAGAGAAATTCACTATATGCTGCGGAGGGTAATGTAATGCTCATTTTAAGATAAAAAACTGTCTGCAGGCAACTGAATTGCAATAAGTATCAAAATTTGGCTCTAGTCAGATCCGACCTCATGAGATATTTATTACTTTGCAATACTGCATACAAGGTATGCAGTAGATTGATTGAAACACTCCTCGTTATTGGAAACCGTAAGATATGAAACCGGCACTCCGGAAGATCAATGTTAGCTTGAAGACACAAGTGAGAACACAAGGGCTGCTAGCTTGGAACAGCTTGATTGAGACTGGTTGAAAATTTTCACAATCGAGTGTTACTTTCACAACGAACAAAACTCAAAACTATGAACAGATAAAATAAGTATAAAACATCGCAGGCAAATGACAGGGAGCTTTGTAACCTTGAGAATCTTCGAATATACTCGCAACACCAAAAAAGTATAATCTAACATTTGCCTGTAACTTGGAGATGATTCAAAGATTGTTGCCTTTAATTTTGCAAGTCACAAAATTGAAAGGAACTCTCATCCAAGACTACAGCCAACAAATATTAACTTTGAGGCCTAAAAGATTAGGTTATAAATTGAAGAGGGCAAGCCCAGTAGGTATGAACACTGTAAGGCAGGGCCAATACCATTGACCCAGAGGGCGAGATTTTACTCAGTCAAATGAAAAATCAAGATGAAAGTGTTAAAAGAGAACTTTTACAAGCAAACAATTAAAATCACTGCGCTTCAGACCAGAAACTAAGGGTGATAATCTCCGCTCAATGGCCCTTAGAAAACTCACTTGAAAGCGAATTCAATTGCCGAACTCCAGAATACATCAGACTTCCAAAAGGGTTTAGGGTTAAGTTACGAATTTGCTACTGCATAATTAGTCTAAAACTGAGAATAGGTGATATGATAATGCTTCATGATGAGTTTCAGTCAGGGCTATCCTCACAACTGGAACTCATTCATCCCGACAATTTTCGGGGAAACGTACGACTTCGAAGCGTTGATGAGAGGGTGTAAGCGGGGTTAGAACTGGGGAATTGAGTAAATTGAATTTAGATGATATTCAATGCCATGCATACTCAAAGATGTGCCGATACAGATTCAAGAGAAACACTCCTTCTTCGCCATTTGCCGCTGTTCTTCTCGGTATCCATTACAATCCCAACTGGTAATCACTACGCACTCGCGACGCACATTTCTAAAATCAATTAGAGGTCAAGAGGGGACCGAAGTGAATTATTATGAAAACAGTTACGCGATAGTACGGGAAAATACGTGAAAAACTGGGGCCATAACAAGCAGGGATAGAACACCGAGAATTCCGAAATATTCATGAAGCGCCTGTTCTCGTCGGCAACGAGACCTCAGCAAAAACTAGAATTTCCGAGTTCGGTACAAAGTTGCGCACCACTAACACACGCACACACTTGCAAACTCTCGTCATAAAAATGGCGAATTGCGCCATACACAAGCGCGCGTAGCGGCCGATGTACGCACCATCTTCGACATTGCCAACCTCTCAATGACTTGTGACCACTGATTCAAAGAATTTAAGTGCATTACCCGGAACAATAAATCTTTCCTAGGTTCTGCGGAGCACGAACTACTTCTTCTCATCTGTTGCGCATAAGGTACAAGTAAATTTAATGGAAATACAGCTCTAGATTAAATAATAATAGTGACTGCGAACAAGGGAGTGCTGACAGTGATGTTGGCAGCGCTGTAAAAGTAATTATTAAATATGAACGTTGCCATGTCGCATGAGAGAAGGCGGGCAAATCAAGCTTTTCGCACCCTTCCGAGATAATTAGGGGAATCAAAAAGAATGAATTGAATGGTTAAAGGCAAAAGGACAAAAAACAATCGTATAATAAACAGCTCGTAAAAAAAGAATGGGGTAATAGCATCTCTAATAATTGAAACTTTGCGCTCATAAGTTCGAAGTACCCATATTCTGAAGCCTGCTGGTAACATTGGGGTACCTAGCATAGTGCAATGAGCACAATTTTTTCCCGAACCAAAGTATGAGACTATCGACAATAGATAATTATAACAGACGTATGTATGTATGTTTTCAATCCTTATATACTTATTTTTTTTTTTTTTGGT